GTGGGATTCCATTTCTATAAAGCATAAAGCTGGCCAAAGTAAGCTATGCTATTATAAGTCAGGAAAGTGGCCATCCATGGGGAAGGAGCGACTGAAGGCGGCAAGAGGAGGTGTTTCTGGAGTGCTTACAACGGTCATGTTCTCTGCATGTTTCAGTACTCGACTGTGGAATTCTATTTGGCATTCACCAGGGTTTTCCATGGGAGAAAGATGAGGTTTTCTGTTCCTGTAAAGATTTACAGCCTCAGAAACAGGGTCCGTAAGAGACTGGAACTGACTCCATGGCACATCACCACAACTATCACTACTCGTCTGTCAGTTTGTCATTCTGCAGTGGCTTTCGTGTTGCTGTCATGCGTGAAAGCATGCCACTGGTGTTTTGAATTCGAGCAGTGTCTACCGTAGTGGACAGGTTACAGCAGGACTTCTAGAATAAGACAGACTAGGTATCAAGGGCTGTCCAGCTAGTTCCGAAAACTAGCCAGCGAGCACTCTACACAATGTACTGAGCAGACCATCTTAAACACGGCGGTGTTTCATTCTTCTGCACACGAGGGTCCACAGGAGTCCATGTCAACAACAACGCACTGTCACACCAAGGGACAATCTCCAGCTCTGCGTCATTTTCTTTTGCCGAAGTACCTGCAGTACTGACTATCTTCTGTACCATCAGAGACATCCTCAGACTGCCAGCAGGGGAGTGGAGGCAGGGAGACCTGCGGCAGGCAGGACAGGCCTCCACCCCAGGTTCCCATGCTCTCTACCACACCACACTCCCCAGCTGTCTGGCCCAGTCCTGCCCTTCCCCCTGCGGGAGACTCCAGGCAGACTCCTGCCCCCAGGCCTTGCAAGCAGCTAGTTGCCCAGCTCCAGGAAGTTTCTCCCACTAGGGTCCTGAACCTGAGGGTGAAGGGATTACTTCCCCTTGGAGTAGATTCCAACGAGACAGTGGAATATTCAAGTTTTGGGAGGCTTGTGTTTAGAAGCACCAGTAAGCCCATTTGGGGCCACGTGAAGGGTTGATGCGCACAGGCATGCGCACGCCTCTGCGGAGCTGAGGCTGGTCAAGGGACCTCCCCGCCCGTCTCTGCACAACATGTTACTACAAGATGAGGCACACAGCTCAGTAGTCACCAGACTTCACTTGTGGCTAGATCTGGGCAGAGGATGGAGGTGATGTCACTAGAGCTTCATCTTATTTCATCCAATTAACCGAGAGTTAATTAGTATTTCCAAGTGCTTTGAAGATGAGGAGTACAGTTTATTCACGGGTCTGCCTGCCTGCCTGGCTGGCAGTGGCAAGACAAGAGAGGCCATGGGAGGAACTGAAGCCCTGTCCTTTAAGGAGATGGGCAATGGTCTCACCTTTGCCGTGCGGGGAGGCTATCATGAGACATTTGTGCCAGGGCCTGTCTGACCTCCCAGGGTCTGGGGATGGCAGAAAGGTTCAAACACTGGCTTTGGGGAGGCTGGTGGAGGGGGCTGGGCAGATGACTGTAGATGAGGTACTTATAATAGCTCTTCTTCCATGAGTGGGGTTTCCTCCTTGCACACATCTTGGCCTGTCTCTGAGCAATGACGGGCTGGACTAGATGACCTCCTAGTCTGTCTTCATTCTGTTCCAGATACTGAAGTTGAAACATCAGGCCCCAGAAGGCCACTGTACATGCTTGGCCCTGGGTCATGACTTTCCTCCTCAGTGCTAGCTTGCAGAAACCTCCTCTGCCTAACCCCTAAGGCAGCCTGGGCGCCATTCAACTTAGTTCAGTGAAGTCCCTAGGCTCTGCCTCTGAGAAGCCCTCTGCCAACTGGGAGGTGGGCATGCTTGACAGACCATGGAGGAAGCTCGGGACATGCATGGTGGGAGCCCAGAGGAGGGGACACTGGGAACTTCACCTGGTTTGGCTGCCAGCCATGAGACATGTAGGAGTCAGCCGGGCAGAGGGCCGAAGGCATTCCAGGGAGAGGCTGGCTTTGGAGGGAGCTTGAGGAGCGCCCTTGGGGCCTTGGCTCAGGCCCCTGCCTCTCTCAGGACCAGTCTTCATGCCACCTAGACCCAAACCAGGGTCCAAACGGTTATGTCTAAAGCTAAGTCCCCCTTTCCTCAAGGCTCAAACAGTTCAGGCTGGCCTGATGCCTCCATCCAAGGATGCGAAGCCCCAGCACTGGGCTGGGACGAGGGGCCGGGATGAGGCCTTTCTGTGCACCTTTCTCAGTACTCTGAAAGTGGGTGCCATCCTTGGAATGACCTCTGGGGCCCAAAGTCTATTGGATAGGTTTCACCATGGTCAGTTGGGGCCTGACTAGCCCAGTGAGTGACTCGTGAAGGGAGGAATGGTTTGCAGACAGGACTGCTGGGAGCAAGCACCATTTGCTTTAGGTCTTGGGCCTGCCAGGCCAAGCTGGGTCCCGGGAAGGGTGGTTGGGATGCTGGGTGGCAGTCCTGTGACCCTGTACCCCAGCACTGGCTGCTTTTAGCTCAGCCAGCTTGGCAGGGCTGCCCCACCCTGGCTTTGTAGCAACTCAACCTGTCAGGACCTGCCTGCGCTTTTGCCCCCCCGAGGAGCTAGAGCCCAGGCTTGGAACTGGGCCCAGGATCCTGCTCCGTACTGGTCTCCACCTGCCTGTCCCTCCCCACCATGACTAGGGTTCTGGGTTGTTGTTGTTTTTAGGTGCCATCGAGTCGGTACCGACCCATAGCGACCTTATGCACAGCAGAACGAAACACTGCCCGATCCTGGGCCAACCTCACTACTGTCACCACGCTTGAGTCCATCGATGCTGCCACTTGGGCCAAGCTCCCCCAAATACCTACACTACTGTCTTGCACCCTAGCTCTGACAGGACCTTCTGGGAGACCCAGCCCACTCTGTCAGTTCCCCAAGTTGCACATGCTCATAACACCTCTCCTTGGGTGGCAGAGATGACTTCCGCTGGCTCTTGCCCCAAACGGGCAGCATTCTCTCCAAAAGACATCTTGCTGGAGAATAGCCTGTGTGTGGTACAGGGCAAAGCCTGGGAGGTCTTTTCCCACTCCCCTTTTTTCCCCCTACCCAGATAACTCTAGAAAGTTCTCTGAGGCACTTTCTAGAATGAAGGAGCTGATGTGAACCAATTACCTGAAGCTGGCAAAGAGAAGGCTCTAATTTGGATCCGCCATCATTTGGAGCTTTTCAATATCAATGACTAGGCGGTGCTGATAAACGGCATGGAAGGTTTTTTATTCCTCTCTGCCCGTCATTACCTACTTGTACCCATTGAGTGCTTCATGTTAGAAAGCCTGCATCTTGCCTGCCTTGTGGTGCTGGGTTGTTGGAATGCAGTTGACTACTGTGGGCTGTGTGGCCTGCCAGAGTGAAAAGAAACTGGCTTCCAGTCCTGGGCAGTGGCTTTTCCTCTGGGGCTCCCCCTGCTGGTCTATGTGGGGTTTGCAGGCTTCCTCTCTAATAAAAGTCCTTGAGGTCCTTTCTGGGCCTCTGGGACAGAGACAGAAGTAAACCAATCACCTTGGTGGTGAAGAGCTGGCAGCTGGCAACACAACAGGGAAGATGAGCCATTGGTCACTGTGGTCACTGTACACTGGAAGACGTGGGGGGGGGGGGGCAGGCCCAGCCGTAGCCAGGGGAGATTCCCCCGGGGGTGAGGGCAGAAGAGTGCAGGGAGGGAGGCTTGAGATGATTTGAAGGTAGAGATGGAGAGCTGAGGGAAGTGCACCAGTGTCAGGGGAATAACACTGTGCTTCCCACTGGGGCCAGGGGGAGGCTGAGAAAGGGCACAGGGAAGGTGAAGGAGCGGATTCAGTTCAGTGGAAGGCGAACTTTCCACCATTTCGCCTCATCATGGCTGTCAGACACATGATTAGAGAGCGAGCCTATATCATCTGCCAGTAGATGGAAGCCTCACGACTTTTGTCTGGTTAGAAGGTTGGTCTATGTGGAGTTTCCAGTTCTTTCTGGAATCACTGACAACCCTGTGACACAAGTGGGCTACAGCAGACCCCAGTCCCGGTCCCGGAACACCTGCTAGCCCAACCCTTCAAAGCAAGCTGGCCCCTAAAAGGCCCGGCTCCTACGGGATTGGGCCCCAGCCATCTTTGAAAAGCTACTAAAAGCTACATGCTCCCTCCCTCTTGTTAAAAGGCTGGGCTTCAAGGACCCTGAATGCTGCTGTGGGACTCCTAGCTCGGCTGTAGCTGTCACTCCAGGATGCCATCTGTGCTTAACTCTGCGCTTGGGTCCCGGAATGGAAGCCGCCTCACCAAGGAGCGTACATCATATTCTTCTTGGGGATACATCTAACCCCCCTTGCTGAGGATTTCAGGGACACAGAGCCTGCTTTCTTCCTGTGTATGCAATGTGGCTTCAAAAAGTTTGTGGAAAAAAGAGCATTCTCTTTTAATTCTTTAAATTTTCCCAGGAACTTTCTGAAGCTCCTTTGTCTATCGCCCTCCCATTCCAGGCTCCTCAGCCTTCATGTCCCCACCACAGTTAGAGGGGACAGTCTCACACACACACACAATACATGGCATGTCCAACACACTCACTTTATTCCAGTCTCCCCAGGATCTCGTCACAACTGGAAAAAGGCCAGGAGGAAAAACAGCAGGCTGCTGGCCACACTCTGTCAGGCGGAGAGGGTGGAGTGGCAACTGGGCTGCCCAAGCAGATGGTCACCAGGGAGAGTGATTAGAGGTAGCATGACACCAAGAACCGGGGCATCGTCTCAAAATCCAAGCAGATAAGTGAGGCGCCCTATCCCTGCGCCCCCAACCTCTTGGGCACTGGCCTGCACGCCATCACAGAAAACAAAAGAACTCTGTTGATCAGGAGGAACGTGACTATAAAGAACTGTTTCCTGGGAATGTATTTTAAAAACAACTTAGAAGAAAAGCAGAAACTATGAACACACAAGGGTGAGACTTTAAATGCCTGCTTCAAAGATAAACAGAGATTAGAAACAATCTCGCAACCCTTCCCACATCCTAGGGAGGTCAACGGGCCTCAGTTGACCTTCTGCAGATGGCGAAAGCTCTGCAGGGTTCTATCCAAGGCCTTGTCCAAGGGGACCAGAGGCCGGTAACCCAGGATCCTCTTGGCTCTCTCACAGCTATAGTAGTGGCACGTGCCGGCCAGTGCAATCCGCATGGGTGTGAAGGTGGGCTGCAGCTCGAGCACCGGACGGAGCACCATCACCAGCAGGGCCAGCAGCAGGGCCAGGTAGTAGGCCAGCCAGTAGGGGACGTGGTACTTTGGGGCCTCATAGTTGAGGCCTGTCAGGATCTGGGACAGAAACTTCCAGAAAGGGACAGGATCATCGTTGGTGATGTGAAAGACCTGCAGAGAGAAGGAGTGAGAAGGGCAGCTCTGGAGGGTGGTGGTTTCCGCCCACTCACAGTGCCCGCGGCAAACGGCAGGTGGTGGCCAAGCTGCATTTTGGATCTGGACAAATGAGGGTGCAGAGAGAGAACAAAGGATAGGGCCAGGAGTTTTAGTGACATCCCGACAACAGTGACAATGGGCGAACTCAGCTCCCACCGCTCAGTTACAAGAGGGTCTCTGGCAGACAGGACCCTGGGGTTGGGCAGAGAGGGCAGGGGTGCCCTCCACCCCTCAGACGCCACGCCACAGAGAACTGTCCCCTGAATTGCCCTCAGTGCCTGCTAAGTTGGAAGCAGGGCCCCAGGATGTGGAATGGCAATGGGAATACCAAAGCCACATTAGTGAGAGTGAGCCTGAAGGTAGGCAGGTAGGGACTCACCTTCCCACACACAGCTGAGTCTTTAGAGAGCTTCTCTGCTGCCAGGATGTGGCCATGGACCACGTTCTCCACGAAGGTGAAGTCTACCAAGTTCTGCCCATTTCTGGTCATAGAAGAAAAGTGTTATTTATGCTGGGAGCACCGTGAGGAGGAGGGATGCCGGGACAACAGGAACACTTTGCTAAGGATGTACTGTGACCTTTGGGCAGTGGGCTGTTTGAAGACCAGCAGCAATAGCTCAACTGGTGAGATCTGTCGACTCCCCCACACCTTTTTCCGGGATACAAAGGGCCAAGGTCTTGTGCTTGTCTACTCTCAAATTGCTTACTTGTTTCTTTCTCACCTCACAACCCTGAGATCCTGAACACATGGAGAAGGACAGGCAGGCAGGCAGGGAAGAATGAGAAGACACAATGGAGGGTGGACAGGTAGAACTAGGAGACAGCTACCACCCCACTACCCAGCACCCGGTCACTGCCCATGCTTTCCATGAGGAGAACAGATCGTGCCCGTGTGCCTTCCTAGACATAGGGAAAGAAGGAGGGAGGCCTTGACCCTGGGCCCATGGTTTCCCCTCTGAGCCTCAGGATCTCCCAGCCTGCCTGAGGGGACGCTGGACTGACTAGTAACCCACCGCCATGGAGTTAATTCCAACTCAGGGTTCCTGAGACTGGAAATCTTCACATGAACAAAAAGTCTCATCTGTCTCTCACGGAGAAGTTGGTGGGTTTGAACCACCAAGCATGTGGTTAGCACTGGAGTACTTACTATACAGCACCATCAGGGCTGCTTTGGACTGACTGATAGCCCACTCAAATTCATGTCTCCCCACCTATGGCCGTGACCTTGTTTGGATGAGTTACCTTGAGGTCACAGTGCTCTATTACTTACAGCAGCAACCTCTGGGGCAGAGTAGAATTGCCACCAGGGGTCCTGGGGCTCTAACCATGTGAAGCTGCAGAGTCACACAGGGGAGACAGCCATGTGGGCACCGAGGCAGGGCTGCAGAGATGCGCCCACGAGCCAAGGAAGGCTTCAGCACACCAGGAATCGCCAGAGGTTCGAAGAAGCATGGAAGGATCTGCCCCTGGAGCCTCCAGAGAGAGCGAGGCCCCTGCCCGCACCCTGGACCCGGACCTCCGGCCTCCAGAACTGGGAGAGGGCACTCTACCATGGGTCTCAGTCCCTCAGGGTGTGGTCAGCACTACGGCAGCTTCAGGGGATGAACCAGAGGGCAACTGTGAAAGTCACAAAAGACAGCAGGGCCGACTCACCCAATCATAAACTTCATCTTGCCTTTCCTGGCGGCCTCAACGAGGATGGGGAGCATCAGGGGGTCCCTGGGGCCAAAAATGCCATGAGGGCGAATGGCTGCAGTTAAGAAATTCTTCTCAGGATCATTGGCACCTAGGACTACCTGTAGACCAGAAAAAAGGCGTGAACAGTCCAGGGCTGTGTGGTTACAGTCACCCACCCAGTCACCCAGTGCTTGCTCTCCTCAGACTACTTTTGAAATTTCACCTCAAGTGTTCACTTCACAGGTTAGGTACGTGTATAGGCCTAAGTCCTAAACTCTCCGAAGAACGCAAAACCCTGCAGGTGTTACTTACATGGCAGCAGGGCCCAGTACCTACTTGTTCCTGTAAGATTTTGGTCTCCGTGTAGTAGTCAATGGGTTTCAGGGCGTAAGGCAGGTCCTCAGTTCCATTCTTGATGTCGACACCCTCAAAGACGACACTGGCACTGCTGGTTAAAATGAGTTTCTGGGGGAGGAGAAGGAAAGGTTACAACAAACGACGACAAGGAGTCTGCAATGGTCACCAGTGACAGTCCCTGGCCATGGAGGCGAGAATCCAGTGGCCCCCACGCACCGCCCGCAGGGACAAGGCACTGCGCAAACTGTCTGCCGCTAAGATGTTGCCTGCTTTCTGAAATCGCCAGGTCTCATGATGGCATGACATCCTACACCACTTTCTACTTGCCCCCCGCCCCCTACCTGCACAAAACCCAGACTACCATTCCGGAGGGGAGCTCACTACAAGACTGGTTCTCCTGGGGAAAGGAGAACCCCAAAACGTCCATGGATATGTCTGTGTGACAAGAGTACTGGTGACTCTGCCATCTACCTTTCAATATGAATATGTGTGCACCGCATGTGTGCAGACACATGCTCACATGCACACGCTCACGGCCCCACTTGAGAAACCCTCTTCTACAGGAAGATGACCTCTGACCAGGGTCCCCAGCTTCTCGGGGCTCTCTGGTTAAGTGCAGCTTACCCAACATGGAACACTGAACTCACAGCCTACCATGTTTATTCAGCACTCTACTGGAAACTCCCTGTCAAGAGGTCTGATAAGATAAAGCAGAGCCCACGATTTCCACACAGAAGAACTGACTGACAGTGTCATGCTTCCCAGATGACTGAAACCTCGATATAGAAAACACTGACAAATAGACAGAAAAAACCAAAGAGTTCGACAAAGTTGCTGAATACAAAGTCAATACATACATGTGAACTTCGCTCCTAGGCATTCACGGAAATCACATGTGTGACACAAAAAAGCATTAGTTACTTTGCAAACTAAAATGGAGCACCCAGGAATAAGTTTAACAAGAGCTGTACAAAATCTGTAAAAGCGTAAAACTATAGAAAGGCATTTAAGATCAATGGAGACACTCCCTATTTATGGATCAGGAGACTTGATATTGGAAAAGACCCATTCTCTCCCAAACTATCTGTAAGTGCAATGCAACCACACAATCGCCACGGATTTTACCAGGGACCTTGAACAGTGAACCGGAAAATGGTGTGAAAAGGCTGCTCACGAAAAGGCTGGTGGCTTGAATGTACCCAGAGGGGTTTTGGAAGAACAGTCTGGTATCTGCTTCCACTTAAAACCTGAAGGAGCAGTTTTCCTCTCACTTGATGGCAGCTGGTTGACATAACTGTGAGTGTTGCTTTTTCAAGGGCTCAGAGCCCCTTCAGAGCTCCTCCCAGCTCTTCTTCCAAGGCCAGGCTGGGAGAGAAGTTTCTGTCTCATGCACACAGCACCTGCACACCACTGTGAGGCGCCAGCGCTGGGCACCCTGAGACCCAGCACTTACGACCTGGGTAGGATTCACCCCCTTCAGGTCTGAGTTCGAACTTTGATGGCTAAACGTAGTTTGTTTTTCTTTAAATATATAAGCAAGGTCTACATTTTATGGCTCTTGAACCAAAGACTATTATACTGGGTCTGTGGGGCCTCAGATGGTCTAAAAGTACAAAGATGGACTGCTTTATATGCATTTAGAATATGATACCTCAAAGTGGCCTGGTGAGCAGACCACCACAATGCCAGCAATACCTCAAGTTTCTTTCCCCTGACCTTGTGACACTTCAGGGAACTGAGCCTGGCCAGCCCCCCGCCCCCCTCCACTGACCTTGGAAGCTGTTCTCTGCCCGGTTTCCCCCTACCTGAACCCCAGCCTGTTTGCAGGTTTCAATGACATTCTTGGTGCCAAGGTAATTCACTCTATAAAAGAGTTCCTTGTTGTCGCTGGATGGTGGGGGTGATGCGCAGTGGAAAACCGTGCTCACACCTTTCAGAGCTGGGTACAGATCCTAGAAAAACAAACGGAGACAAGAAGATATCATTTGTGCTTCTAACAGGCACACAGCCTCCTCCTGTTCCTGCTCCCCAAGCCTCCTGCCCTCCCTCTCCATCAGGACACACTGGACACAGAGATACACTCATGCTGTAAAAGAATCAAACCTAGTTTCCCCTGGAACTACCCTTCTCATTGCTGGGGCAGGAGCAGCCCATGGGATCCAGAAAGAGGACACCAGGGAGGCAGAAACTGGGGAGCTGAGCGCACAGGCAAAAATGAGGCATCACAGGAACACAGTCAGACCATTAAAGACAGAAGGATCCTGGCCAGTGAAACACCATGTGACCCAGCAACCTGAAAGGCCTTTAATGCAAGCAGGCAGGCAGGCAAGCAGGCAGGCAGGCAGGCAGGCTTCGTTTACTGCTGAAAAGAACCACAGCTCCTAGAGAAATGGACCACGGCAGAGCTGAGGCTGAATATCCCCAAGATGAGCCAGGAAGACTGTGACAGGAATGACATTATCCAAGACTACTCCTGGGTCATGTGAAGAGGACTCACAAGCTAGCTGGACAGGTTTTTCTTTTTCAATTTTTAAAATACTGTCTTTGATTTTGTCGTTGAGAGTATAAATAGTAGACTGTCCACTCACTCAATCATCTTACCTTCCTTTTCTGAACCGTTCTTCCCCCACTGACTCACAGCCCTCAAAGTGAGTTGCCGTTGTCAGCTGACCCCATGGAAAGTTCTTTTTTTAAAAAATGTTTTTACTGTCGTTTGGATAAAACTTGACAAAGCATATTAGTTTTCTGTTAAGCAACTTATACCCATTTTGCTACAAGATATGGTCACAAGCTCCTCAATATCACAGCACTCTTCCCGCTTCCTTCCTGGCCTGGCTTCCCCATTTCCATTTGTTCTTCTTTCCTGGCCCATTCTGCCTTCCAAGCTTTGCTTCTGAGTCTTGTACATTCTTCCCTACTGTAACTCATTCTATAGGGTTGTCTGTTCAGCTGGAAGTTGATCCCTGGGGAAAGGAGGTTTTACGGTCACAGTCGTCTCAGGAATGCTGGACAGATTTTTGAGGAGCTTCTAGACTACAACAGACTAGGAAAATTGGCCTGGAGATCTACTTCCAAAAATCTACCAACGGAAATCTTACCGATGGCAATTTCCTACCCACAGTACAATACAGGGACAAAGGCAGTTAAAGTCACTTTAAAAGCTCAATCTACCATGATGTATCATTTAGTGTAATATGACCAGCACTAGACCACAAGGTCCATGGTTAAAACTCACCAGCAGCACCTCTGAAGCCCTGTAAAGGGTCACTATGAGTTGGAACGGACTAGATGGCACCAACAACAACAATCCAATACATTACTTTTCATGATATTCCACATTGCTTTTTTGTGAGAAGTGGTGGAAACTGGGTGTGTAGTTTACACCAGCAGCACGTCTCAACTTAGACTAGTCACTAGAAGTATGTTCTAAGTGACTACATGTGGCTTGTGGCTGCCATACTGCATGGCAGTCTTAGATCTACCAGTTAGCAGGAAACACAGGGGGACAGACAAACATGTTAAATGACACTGGGGGTGGGTGGGAGGATACGATCAGCCAAATCCAGACCATGGGAAATGCTTGTTGATGGTGTTATTAAGTCAGTTCTGACCTATAACAACCGTGTGCAGTGGGGTTTCCAAGGCTGTTAATCTTTAAGGGCATAGGAAGTCTCATCTTTGTCCTGTGGAGCAGTTGGTGGGCTCAAAGTGCCAACTTTGTGGTTAGCAGTCTAGTGCTTATCCTACAGTGCCACAGAGCTTCCATGGGAACTGCTAGAGGACAATAAACATGGCTTCCTCAATGAACACACTAAAAGTCAACCAAACACAATGTCTTGTCCTTGTGTGGAGCCTTGTTTGGAAAACACTGTACAAAAGAAGAAATGTTCAGGTGTAGCAGAGCCCTGCCTGCTTAGTAAGCGATCACCTCCACTGAGTTTTAGGTGTGATCATGAAACAGTGGCAATTTTGGTTTTGTTTTAAGGATTCTTATAACTCAGAAATAAATAATGAACTATGTATAACTACAATGATATGAAGTCTAAGATTGGATTAAAAATTATCTGGGTGAGGGGGTACAGATGAAACAAGATTAGCCAGGAATGGCTTACAAAGTAGAGGAAGCCTCCTACAAAGTTGTACAAACATAGAAAGAGAAGGATAACATATAAGAGCTTAAAAGACACAGAGAACATAGAGCAAAGCTCCACACCATAAGTCCAGAAAGGGAGAAAAGAGAGGACGCAGGTAGAGTCAACAGTCAATGAATTTTCCAGAAATGAGGAAACGTGTGAACCAATTCTCACACTGAGTAGAATTTAAAAACCAAAACGAAAACTTACAGCCAGACATATTCTCTACAGACTATAAAGGAGAAAGAAAAAATGTACAAGAATATGCAGGAACAATGAGCAGACAGAGTGGACACCTAGACAGCAACAACAGACGCCACAAGACATTGGGGTGATTGCAAAGTGTGGAGGGAAAACACGTCGGAACCCAGAATTCGAGGCCCAGCTAAATTGGCATTTACAAGTCAGGAGGAAATAAAAGTTATTTTCAGGCATAAAAGGACTTAGAAAATTTCCTTTCCATAGATATTTTCTGGAGACCTGCTAGAGGAGCTACTTCAGCAGGAAGATAAAGGAACCCCAAGAAAGTGGGATACAAGAAGCCCTGAAGAGCAAAGACCCAATAAAAGCTGGTATACAATCTAAGTGTCAACTACTCACACACACACACACGTTTAAAGTCCTTCCCGCACTAACGTCATAACCACTTTTCCTGCCTTAGCTTAGGTCTCCTCCAAGGTCCGATCCTTGCCTTGTCCCTCCGTCCCATTATCACGTTTGTCAGGAGAAATCTAAGCTCTCCTTAAACGCAGCTCCTTTTATCCATGCCTATCCCTGAGCAGCTGAGTGGAGCAACGGCAGCCCATACCACGTGTGAGCCTTACTCTCAAACGGGCAGTGTCTGGCCACCCTGCTGTATTTCCTGTGGTCCAAAGGAGCTCTGGGAGCGTAGTGGCTACGAATCGGCCTGCGAACCACAAGGTCAGCAGTTCAAAACTACCAGCTGCTCCGCAGGAGAAAGATGAGGCTTTCTGCTCCCATAAAGATTAACAGTCTCGGAAACCCTGTTCAGGGTCGCTATGGGTCGGAACCGACTCGATGGCACGTAACAACGTGTGTCAACTTATCCACTGCCATCCAGTTGCTGTGGACTCACAGTGACACTGCAGGACACAATAGAACTGCACTATAGGATTTCTCAGGTTGCAAATCTTTTATTAAAGAAGCAGACAGCCACAACTTTTTCACATGGAGTGACTGGTACATTCAAACCGCCAACCTTTTGGTTAGCAGTCTAGTGCTGTAACTATTGCGCAACCAGGGCTCCAAAGTCAGAATGTAGGTGCATGTTCAATTCTTTTCTCTAGTTTTTAAAATTTCCCCAAAGAAAACAAAATATTTTTGCAGAGAAGCAGCATTTGTTGGGCTCTCTAGTCAGGGAAACTCTGTGACTAGCTCTGGAGGACTGTGGGAAGCCTGGTTGGTCCTTACCTGCTGGTTGCAGAGATCGCCCAGGAAGAACTGCACCTGGGGATTGTTGAAGCCTTGGCGGATATCAAAGACGTTGACCTGGTAGCCTTTTGCCAGTAAGTGCTCCACCATGTACTGCCCAAGGAACCCAGAGCCGCCGATCACCGTGCACTTCTTGGCCTGCGGGAAGAGGGCATCTGAGCTGTATGGAGCCTAGGAACTCCTTCTCTAGCGGGTCAGCGGTGAGGGCAGAAAGACAGCAGACTGGTAAGTTAGCTTTGGTGAATTTGGATGCCGTGGAGGGAGGAAAGGGAAAGGAGACACCGGGGAAAGAGATTCCTCCACCTTATGATCTAAACTGGATAATCTATGAAAGATGAAGATAGGCAGACCTCAGAGATATTGCTGGTTTAGCTCCAAACCGCTGCAATAAATCGGGTATTGTCATAAAGTGAGTCTTTGTGAGTGTATAGTTCGAAGTACTTGAGAACAACCAAACGGGACACAGAGACATGAAGTGAGGACATGCTATGGGAAAAATGGAGGCTGGTACAGGGTTGCCACAAACCTGCAATTAGTAAGAACTCAGTATTTGCGTGGTGCCCGTCTGCCAGTACCTTGCTGCTCCTGATAGGAAGATCCCTAAGTTCCAAAATAAAAAAGGCCAGCCAGTGGCTAGCTCGCAAGACAAACATCAGAAAGAAGAAAACAAAGCAAGGCAGAGAGGCCCTGGCAGTCTGTAGAAAAAGACAGCAGAGTTCCAGTGTGAGACACCCTGGGGGACAGTCCCACTCTGTCCCTGAGGGTCACTAGGAGTCTGAATTGACTGAAAGGCACACGACAATGACAACTTTTTTGTGAAACATCTACATGAGTAAGATAAGCAGGAGTCTCGGGGGTCCCCATGTGAGACAGAAGGTACAATGAGACTTCAGCTCTGCTCATGTGGATCCTACTGGATGTACCCCTGGCTCCTTCCACAACGATCCTTTCAAGCCAAACTTCTGTACACTTTGTTCAGTTACTCCTACACACGTGTAGTCAGAGCGTGGGAAATCACTCACTTCACTGATTACTAAACCTTCTTCAGGGGAAAAAAAAGAAATCATTAACCTTTCCTTAAATGCCCAAGCCTGCCTCAGCGTGTGGCCACAATGAGTACAAAATGCCCGCTTGACCCACTTGTCCCTCCTTCTGCCCCACCGCTACCAGCCCAAGTCAGCTGTGCAAGCCAAATGCCTTACTGAGGGTCCCTCAGAGCCTCCCGCCCTTCTTTCCCTCAGTGTATGGAAAGTTTGACTGAGCCCAGAGAGGGTCAGCACTAGGCAGGCTTGGCCAACCTCTCCAGGGGTTTCCGAGTCTGCCTTTAGGTTTGAGACAGCATCAATGCAGTGGTCTGCATACGGCTGCTAGTGTCCTGGTTCCTAAGGGAATTCATGTCATGATTTCCCATGTGACTCAGTACACGTGGGCAGAAGGATGATGGCATACCCAGACAGCTTGGGACAAGGGGGCCAATGGCTCATCCATAGACAATGTTGTTGAGTCCATAGGACTTTAGCCAGAGGAGATTATGTGACAAGCAGAGGGAGCAGGTCCAGAGGAGAAGCAGGAAGAGCCACTGGCACTCACGAACCAAACTCGAGCCTGGAATATGTGCAGAGACACTCCAGGGTAGGTTATGGAGAAATGGAGAAAAGGCACAAAACCAGTATTTTAGAAGTGCTTTTAAGAATAGGAAAGTCATCCAGACACGCTCACTTTAATTGTCATCAGATCCCGAGGTAATACAATGGGCCAAGCTACTGGGCTTGGTTGTGGTGTGCCGTGGAGTCTGTTCTGGCTCACAGCGACCCTGTACATGGTTTCTGAGGCTGTGAATCTTTACAGGAGCAGAAAGCCTCATCTTTTCCCATGGAACAGCTGGTAGTTTCGAACTGCTGACCTTGTGGTTCGCAGCCCGATTTGCATCCACTATGCTAACAGTGGAAACCTTTTTACAGCGAGGTTTTACACAGAACACATATCTGTTAAGATAAAAACTTTTTTTCTTTCTTTCTGGTTTTGGTAGTTTAACTTTGTAACTTTAGTTTCTATAAGGTCAACTGATAAGAATACGGTGATTTTGAAGAACGCCAATACTTGAGATGGGACAACAAAGGCAACTTGCTCTAACTACTAGGATCACCATCTTGTTGCTTGCTGAATAGCAATCAAATCTGAATGTGCACTCACAAGGAACCCGGAGACACACATAATCTTTCATTATACACAGGACCCAGAGGCAGCCAGCTACTCTAAAACCTGCTGGGAATCTTACATTTAGTACCATTTTCTACCAACACATTATACTATGGTATGAGCAGACTTGTGAAGCATTAAAAATCACTGAAGGCCAATCAAGTCAAACCTGTGCAGAGCCACATGAAGTCCCTCCAGGAGGTCTGAAAACTGGACACAATTCCTTCAAGTCCCTCCAAAGACTTTGGAGGCCTTGCAACTGTCGCTGTGTCCTCTGGGAACATTCCTGCCATCACTTCAAGAAGCCCTGGCTGCCTGCTAACAGGCCAAGTGAAAGTGAACTGAGGCAACTCACCGATATCCAACAGTTACTGCTGGGCATGTGAGGGAGGCTAGTCTGGCACACACATAGCTCAGGGAGTCCCCAGATGATGGCAATGGCGAGATTAAGCCCAGGGGAGATCAGCCAAGGTCCCCCTCAGCTGGATCAGCCCATACTGCAGAAGCTTGTCACAGCAATGGTGGCTGTTTGAAGCCACCATGCTTTGATGTTTTTGGTGATATCGCAGTGACTGAAATCAAGATAGCTATCTCTCACAAAGCCCACCCCCCCCACTGAGTGGTTTCCTAAACACACCAAAACATAACATAAACACTACAACTCCTCCCGCCCAAGCTCAACAGCCAACAGCTGGCGGGTCTGTATGTGCTAACAGTGCTTGTGTCAGAACTCACTCTGGGCATGTCTTTTGTCCCATGTGCCCATGCGACCTGGTTTCTCAGATTTGCACGAGTGTCGTGTTCCATTTCTGCTCAAATATAGCCTGGTTTGCGATCACCTTCTGTATCCCTAAAAAGATAAACAGAGACAGACGTCACCACTGTGTCCACAGGTCCTTTGGCTGAAAGTGCTTGTGTCTATGCCATCTCCGTCTGAGTCCTTACTGTGCTGAGCCACACTACAGCTGCCCGAAGGAGCACTCAGCTTGAGCTGGCATTCCTCTTGGAGGGATCAGTGACTGCCAACCACTGCACAGCTGGGAGCCAGGGTCAGCAGAGAGCTGCAGAGGAGCACCGGGGTCCAGAGCCCCAACAATGCAGCCTACTGACTCAGGGCAGCCTGGCCCAAGGGGCCCCCCTGAGCTGGTCCTCAAGGCCCTGGGCCTCTAACCAACCAAGTGGCTGTCCTGCCCATAGCCAGGTGTGAGGGACGAGGCAACCGGCACAGAGCCAGTGTGTTCTGGGAGAAGTTGCGCCACAGCCAGTGTGAGTTAAGATGGGGAGTAGGGCTTGGGCGTTCAGGGGCTTGTGTCAGGTAGAGGAGCCCCAGGCGGTGTGAGTAGGGGTGAGGCTTGCAATCAAGCAGGAGCTTTGGCAAGATCGCTCATGCGCAGCAGGGTCTTCCAAGTAGAAGGGTGTCAAGGGGGCCCCATACCACCTGCAGACCTGCTAGATGCCAGGGAGACATGGCTGCTTTTATTCAATGGATGAGCTCCCAAGACTGAGAGGCCAAGTGACTGGCCCGAAGCCATGCAGCCAAGGCCGAATACCACCCAGCTGACTGCCTGGGAAACTGGGTGTGAGACTGGAAGGTGCAGGTGGAGGCATCCGGAATCTACCTCAGTGGGCGAACAGGGGCGCCCCTCACTCCCTGGGTCCTGGAGCACCAGCTTGGATCAAAAGCAAGGTTCCTGGCTGGCGCTCCAGCCTCAAAGTACTGACAAAATCAGCCAAACAGTAGCCACAAGGTGCTGCTGAGTGCTGGGGGGGCTTGGGGCCTTAGATGGCAGCTTCCTAGGGCCTGGAGAGAAAGCAGGGGGCCTAGTAGGCGTCGTGTGTCTGGCACAGCAGTTAGGGGCCTAGTGTCACCAGGGCAGAGTGAGCTAGACAGAGGAGGGGGCGCCAGGCCGTGCCACCCTGTGCTGTTGCGGGGGGTGGGGTGGGGGGCGGGCGACGGAAAGCGGAATCATGCGCAGAGGAGCAGCCGTCGAGGCTAAGAGACAGCCAGTGCAGTTTCTGGAGAGCGCCTAATGGCGCCTGGGGGTGGGGACGGGGCAGTCAGGGCAGAGGGTAAAGGGTCTTTACCCCAGGCGCGCCCTCCGCCTCCCCCGTGTCTGGAGAACAAGCGGCGTGAGCGGTCTGTCACCGAACGCGCGCTTACGTCCCCTTTGCACGCTCCCAGCGGCGACTGAGCTCTTGATCGGGAGCTGTACGGACCGCGAGTGGCAGGTACTCAAATCCCAGCCGTTTACCCCTCTGGGGCTCCGCCTGCCTCTGCCCCTTCCCCTCTCAGGGCTTCAGGCTCCAACACACACGCTCACGTTCCGCTCAGCCAAACATCCTCCCCGCCAAAGCCCATTCTCCTTAACCCAGCCTCAGGTCACAAAATGCCTCCCCAGCCCCTCGCAGCCACCTCACCGCTCCGTAAGTCAGTCTCAGCTCTCCGGAGGTCGGCTACCGAAAGAACCTCACGCCAGCCACCGCCCCTTTCTCCTCCCGCGTGAGGCCAGAATCGGCAGAGCCTTCTCCATCCACTGGATTGGTTAGGCTCGGCTCTGGATTTACTAATCAGCGTGCAGTGTGATCTTTTCTCCCGCCCCCACCCCATGGCCGGAAAACTGCCGGGTTGGTCCCACCCAATCCAAGTATGCACCAATGGGGAATGGCGGCGGCAGGCAGACCACCAATGGAGAACGGGGACTCGCGCGTGCGCGCGGGGAATGATGGGAACGACGCCGAGTAAATGTGTACGTTCGTTGCCGTAACAACAGTCCATAGAGTCCGTCAGCTATGGTGAGTAAAGTGGTGGTGGCCCTCATACTGAGGCCAGTGGCCACGCCGCCTCTCCCGCGCGTTCCTGAGCTTCAGCGCGCCCTTCTGTCCTCGAGCTTTGTACCGGAAGGGTAGGGTCGAGACGCCAACCGCCCCGCTAGATCTCGCTTCTCTCCTCTTCCTCCCTGTGCCCACTGTCGGCCCGACATTCTCTTCGGAATCCCCAGGATCCGGGGCCTCCTCGGCCCCCTGAGTGACTGTCCCTTGGCTCGGGTGAACCCTATTTTCCGCAGACTTCGACCCTATTCAGACCCTAGCTTATTGGCAGTCTCGCTCTACCAAAGTTTCCGCTCACAGAGCTGGGGGTGGGGGGTTATATTCTTACTTAACACGGATTTTAAGCTTTAAATATAGACCTGGCTGAACCGTTATGAACTTTTTGAAGAAGTCACAAACGTGCCTAGTGGGTTTACTTGTAGTGATTCTATGAGAGAATCTAAATCATGATCAGTTAGTCATATTTGACTAAATGTGTAAGTAACCAGGAGGTCTGAGCGCTCAGAGAAAATCGGAGTGCTGCACGCGGGTGGGCATTGCCAGCATGAGGATCCCCCAGTTCATTAGCTCCCTCCAGGGGTGATTTTCAGTAAGAAGTGTGCAGAACTTCAAGGAATTCCCTTCGCCTCTAGAAACAATAGTAAATAAGAGGTTGGAGGGGAGGAGGTTTGAAGCTCCTCCGGGTGCCTTTGATAGTTCTCTGCAGAACCAGCTAACACTTGTTAAGTAATCGTGCTCTCTTGGGCGTGGTTCTTAGCACCAGTGCAAGGGTGAGGACATTGAAAGGTTCACTGGCTTTGTCCTGCCCACAAAGATAGTAAGCAAGTCTGGCTCTCCTGTTAAGCAAAGCTTTGGAATTGGCTAGTCGTCACAGTAGAATAGATACCGTTTTCATAAGGTCCCTGGGTGGTGCATATGGTTTATGCTCATCTGCTAACCCTGTGCAGGGTCGCTATGAGTCGGGACCAGCTCGATGGCACTTAGTAACAACTAACCTTAAGATTGGTGGCAGGACACCCCCTCCCCCCCCAGCAGCACTGTGGAAGAAAGCCTCAGTCTGCTCAGTCAAGATGACAGCCAAGAAAACCCTGTAAAGCAGTTCTACTGTGTAGCACATGGGGTCGCTGTGAGTCAGTGGGTTGGTATTTTGGGTTTTATGGTTGTCCATAACGATCTCAGGGGCCCTGGTGGCCCATTGCAGTAAGTATTGGGCTGCTGACCACAGGGTAAGCTGTTCCATGGGAGAAAGATGAGATTAGGTCACCAGCTGGTCCATGGGAGAAAGATGAGATTAGGTCATCTCCAGTAAAGATTTATAGTTTGAGAAACCCTAAGGAGCAGTTTTCCTCTGTCCTACAGCGTTGCTAGGAGTGAGCACCCAGAATTGACTGGAAGGCAGTGGGTTTGTTTTTAGCTTTGGTGACTATCAAATGTGAACTGTTGACTGTATTACTTACTGCCCTCCCCTCCCCAACAAGTCCTTGTGCCCACTCCTCATGTGTTTGTGTGTCCAAAGGCTTCCAGCTTTAAGAAGGCTAGCGTGGCATCAACTTCAAGCCAACGAAAGCGGATGAGCTCCAAGCCTGACATCAATGATGAGCAGAAACAGGAAATCCGTGAAGCTTTTGATCTCTTTGATACAGATGGGACTGGCACCATCGATGTCAAAGAGCTTAAGGCAAGCTCTCTACCCTCCTGCTGAAAGTGCCCTTGTCTTCCTCGCCTCTTTACCAGCTCCTGGCCTTCATTTGCATCAATGCCCTACCCTTATTTCCTGTCCCAAATTGCAGGGGAGGACAAACTGGTGGGGTTTTTTTTTCCCCCCTCCTGTTTTTACCTCTAGTGTTATTTCATAAAATTCATAGCAAATATCATTTAGATCAATGTTCCTCAGTCATATAAGAAGTATCATATCAGATGCTTCTTAATGCTATCAGGACTGTCGCTTTTACTCCTGCTGAGTTTGAATTTACATATTGAGATGACACCTGCTTTCATTGTAGGTGGCAATGCGGGCCCTGGGCTTTGAGCCCAGGAAAGAAGAGATCAAGAAAATGATCACTGAGATTGATAAGGAAGGTACAGGAAAAATGAACTTCAATGACTTTTTGACGGTGATGACTAAGAAGATGGTAAGTTAGCTAAGATCCTCAGCATGTTGTTCATCCAGAATGGTGCATGAATCTGAACCCAGATAGGGAAATCGCTTATCTGGTAAAAGATAGGCCTTCACCTTGACAACAAGATGACTTAGGCACTACTTGGTTTTCTTCAAGGCCAGAGTCAAGTAGAAGTCACTTTGCCTTATGTGCACTAGTAAGACACTGCTGTCACTTTTGTCCTGTGATCTTTCCCCAATTGAGAGGTGAATGTCACAACTACAAACGCTTTGAAGCTATACCCACCTGTACACCTGGAAGCACCATTCATTTTCACACAATACGAAGTACCTACCTCCTACGATCTCATGCCTTCATTTCAGATTAAGTCCCCTTCCAAACTATGCCCTCATTCCAGTGTTCATGAAAGTCTGTAGACTTTACAGTTGAGAATTCTGCTCTCTCGGGTTTTCCGTTCTGCGCAGCCTCAGAGTCACAGAGTCACCTGTGACCCTGTGGTTTTTCAGTGCTTCCAAGGTTGAGTTTATCCAGCCTGGGCCCAAGAGGTCAAGTGAACATAGACGTCACCTCACCCATCTACGTCACTCCTGAGTGGTTTCATTGGACCACATCCTGTTTTCTCAGGTCCCCAGTACATCTCTGTGATCTGATAACAAGTATGGGGGCCCTTTTTCCTCCCTGCCCACCTACCAGCCATCTTCTTTTGTCTGTCACTTACGGCTGAGATTCTAGCATCATTCCTATAGAAGATTCCTGGTCCAGCTGCTTAAGGAGTGTATTTTCCCTTATTTTAATTCTGCTCTCACATTTGAAAAATGAATCATGTTTCTTCTTTGGTGTGGACACACAGAATGTTTTAGGTCCAGTCCTTTTATGTTTCCTTCTTCACCTGAGTTTGTCATAATTTTCTGGTGTGTTTCCTCTTTTACTTCCTTGGAGGTGGTTTGATCTCCTGTGATGCGGGTCCTATGCCATAAAGGTTTTCAGTCGGATTGCATGGTGAAGAGAAGCGGGGGTGGATGGGGCTAGGGGATGAATCCAAGAAGGTAGTCCCCTATTCTGAATAAGAGAAAGAGGGGCAGTATATGTCACTGTGCTGAACAGTTAAACCTGGGTGACCACACAGGCCCACAGCCCCACCTGTTCAGATAAATCCTTGTGCCCACTGCTCATGCTGTCGTGGCATACACTCTCTACTTCTCTAGTACGGCTCTGACCGAATACCTACCCCAAGTGGGGGACTTTCACAAACAGACATTTCTTCTCTCCCAGTTTATGAGGCTAGACATCGGAGATTAGGCTGATTGGGAGATCTTCCTCTGCTCTCTCCCTGCTTGCTTCAGCTCTCTTTCAAAAAGAGTTTGGACTCAAGAGTCCTCCTGAACCAGTCCTGGCTCATGAACATGACAAAGCAAACCCCCAAGAGGGATCCTAGTCACAGGTCTAGGGGTTAAGATTTACCTACTTTGGGTTACAATTCTATTCATAGTAGACCCAGAGCAGACACCTCTTCCTTCTGAACTCTGAGCCAGATGGTGAGCAGCTGTCACTTGGTTAGAAAGTGGAGGCCGAAGTGGACTTCCTCAGACTGAATCCAATTCCAGGCTCAAGTGAGGTGATTGCAGAGGAGGAAGAGTGTGTCCTGGGGGGCTGTGGGAGGAAGTGATGCAATAAATGCTTCACTCATGAGTGCTTCTGTTCTTGTTAAGTCTGAGAAAGATACCAAAGAAGAAATCCTGAAAGCTTTCAAGCTCTTTGATGACGATGAAACTGGCAAGATCTCTTTCAAAAATCTGAAACGCGTGGCCAAGGAGTTGGGCGAGAACCTCACTGATGAGGAACTGCAGGTCTGTACGGTCTGGAGCTGACCCCAGAATTCGGGGCCGCAGAGCCTCTTCTGAGTTCCCTTTTCTCTGCTGCCCACGTAATGCTGCTCTACGAAACCTCTGACCCGGACCCCCCAAACCTCCCTTCCACAAAAAAAAGCACACTTGTGGACAATTCCACTCACTGTTTTTGGTTTCAGAACCCCCCTCCGCCCCCAATCCCTTGCAGAATGATCTAGGCAGACTCTTTCGGATGGTATGTGAGAGAAAGGAGGTCTGGGCTATCCGCAAACCTTCCTGGAACCGCACAGTTAGAGAGGACAATGAGTGACTCCTTTGTCTAGTCACGCAGCAGCATTAGAAGCCTCGTGCTTAATTGCCTTGGGATTGAGTTTCTGCATTAATGTAACGTAGCTCCTTACTGTCACACAGGAAATGATTGATGAGGCGGATCGAGACGGTGACGGTGAAGTTAGTGAGCAAGAGTTCCTGCGCATCATGAAGAAGACGAGCCTTTACTAAAACAGCCTCCACCCTCCTGGCAGGCACGCATAACTCCAGCCTGTGGGACCGTCTGAACACCAACCCCCCAGAGCTATAGAAGCAACCTCGATTCTTTTCTCCCTTTGACAGAGTGGTCTTTGATGTTCACGTCTGTGTCAAATGACCCATGGATAGTTTATGTCCCCCTAAACAGAGCTCGAGCTCATAAGAACAGAGCACACGGAGAAGAGGGTCCCAAGGTTGCTGCCCACTCGCCCTTCGGCCTGGCCGGGTTTCCCTCTTCTCATGCATTGCCACGCCCCTCCCAACCTGGATAGCTCCGTAGACAAGCACAGGCCATCCCCCATCGCCACTCTGCTGGTTCTGGGTTTTAGTTGACAGCAGACCGTCATTCTGTCTTTTATAAAATCTGGTGATGTCACTCACTGGAGGTGTGTTTTTGTGCTCTTTGTTTTGTCTTTAAAATACAATCTTATTTGGAGTGTTTGTTTTCCTAGGACAGGTTCTTGAGCCTTGCCCCTGCAATCAGCCCTCTGAACCACTGTGTTGAAGGAAGGCTGCTAGATAGAAAAATCCCCTCAGCTCAAGTCAGCAATGGAAGTAAAGCTTCACCACATTGCTGGCAAGGATTGGTTCTTGCCTTGAAGAACCAGGTGTTTGTAAAACATGCAGAATGTCCATTTCCTCTCAGCCATCTGTTGAAGTTAGCTACCTGGCAAGTTAGTTCACTCCTAGCATCTCATAGGAGCTTTGCAGTTGAATCCAATTGAGCCGCCCTGGCCAGCCCCACTCCTGGCCCAGAGCAGCTGGAAGGAACCAGCAAGAGGTGCAAGCCCCAGTGGGTGGGAAGTGGAAGACAGCAACAAGGATGGGGTGCTCATGCAGCCTGACTCCCTAGGACTTCTTGGTGGAGTCGGTTCCAACTCATAGTGACCCTGTACAGGGTTTCCGAGGCTTTAAATCTTTACGGGAGCAGAAAGCCTCATCTTTCTCCCGCGGAACTGCTGACCTTAGGTTAGTAGCCCGATTCGTAACCACTACGCTACCAGAGCTCATTGGACTTCTTCGTATGCGGTCATTTGTGTGGGCATTGAAATTCCAGTTACATTGAACATGCTGTGTACCCAGCAACCCCTCCCAAGGGGCATGTTGGAGAGCCCTGGGCCTCCTCCCCAAAGACAGGCAGCATCCAAGACTTATCCACACCACCCATATGAGTTCTGTGAACCACAGGGGACCCAGGCATCTCCACCTGCCTTCTCACATGGTCCCACTGGTCCTGGGGGCAGGGGTGGGGTGACCTCCTATTTTCTTGATGGGCCTTGGGTTCCTTGTGTGTGTGCCATGTGTAGCCACGTGCTTCAGTCTGAATCGATGGGATCTAATGGAATCCTACAGAAAGGACCTGACTTTGAAAGTGCTCGTGAAGTGGGTGTTGCAGAAATGCAAGTTCTTACACTTATTCCTTGGTTTGTGGTTCTCATGTCAGCCTTGTTAAATGAAGACATGGCACCAAATTTAGAATGAACCAGAGACAACAGTCCTACTTCTGCCCCATGCTGTGGTGCTGTTTTTCTATCACAGGGACGTAATCTGATTGAAGACTAGGCCCTCTCTCCTACTTCACTAGAAGCCTCCTTATCTTCTCTCACTTAATGTTCCCATAAATGAAGAAAGTTTCCAGGGCTCTTGGGGAGAGTGGCAGGTACCACATGGAGGACTAACAGAAAGTGCTCCCCAGCAGCCATGGGAAGGTTGGTTTGTGGTTATTCAGGGGAGGGGATGGGGACAGAACTACAGGGCTGGAACCAGGAGGTGGAAGGGAGTTGGGGTGAAGGAGTAGAGGTTAGTGGAGGCTGGTTTCCGAGGGACTGGCCCTGGGAGTTGAAGGATATGGAAGAAGGTGGCAGAAGAGGCACAGAGGTCAGTCCATGTGGGGCTGGACCATAGAAGGGGAGGGAGCAGGCTGTGGATCATGATGGCAGTTTGTCGTGCTGTGGTAGCTTGTGTGTTGCTGTGATTCTGGAAGATCTGTCACAGGTATTTTGAATACCAGCAGGGTCACTCATGGTGGACAGGTTTCAGCTGAGCATCCAGAGCAAGACAGACTAGGAAGAAGGAAAGACGGACAGCATCTGAGTGTTTTGCCAATGAAAACCTTTTGAATGGTAACAGGACATTGTTAGATATAGTGCCAGGAAGAGGTGAAAACATGCTGAAGAGCACCAGAATATTGTCAGCTAGTTTGGCCGAAGATGAGCCCCTTAGGCTGGAAAGCACTCAAAATATGACTGGGGAAGAACTGCTTCCTCAAAATAGAGTTGACCATGATGACACCAATGGAGTAAAGCCCTCGGGACCTTCATTTGCTGATGGGGCACAACTCAAAATGGGAAGAAATCGCTATTAATATTCATCAATACTCAGAACATGGAATGTACAAAGTAAAATAATCTAGGAAAATTGGACATTGTCAAAAATAAAATGGAATTCATAAACATCAATATCCTGGGCATTAGTGAGCTGAAATGGACTGGTTTTGTCCATTTTGAATCCGACAATCATACAGTTTACTATGCAGGGAATGACACATTGAAGAGGAATGGCATCACACTAGTCATTAAAAAGAACATTTCAAGATCTATCTTGAAGTTCAACGTTGTCTGTGATAAGGAGAATATCCATATGCCTACAAGGAAGACCAGTTAATATCACCATTATTCAAAGTTACCCACCAACCACTAAAGCCAGTGATCATGCAATAGAATTCTACCAACTTCTTCAATCTGAAATTGATCAGACATGCCATAAAGATGTATTGATAATTACTGGTGATTGGAATGCAAAGGTTGGAAACAAAGAGGATCAGTAGTTGGGAAATATGGCCTTGGTGATAGGAATGATGCTGGAGATCACATGATAGAATTTTGCAAGACCAATGACTTCTTCATTGCAAATGCCTTTTTAAAACAACATAAAAGATGATGAACACATGGACCTCACCAGGTGGAGCGCTCAGAAATCAAATCAACTACATCTGTGGAAAGAGAAGATGGAAAAGCTCCATATCATCAGCCAAAACAAGGCCAGGAGCAGACTGTGGAACAGACCATCAACTGCTCATATGCAAAATGAAGACTGAAGATGAAGAAAATTGAAACAAGTCTATGAGAGCCACAATATGACCTTGAACGTATCCTACCTGAATTTAGAGATCATTGGAAAAACATATTTGATGCATTAGACACTAACAATCAAAGATCAGAAGAGTTGTGGGATGACATCAAGAACATCATACAGGAAGAAAGCAAAAGGTCATTCAGTAGACAAGAAAAGAGCACAATGGAATGAATGTCAGAAGAGCCTTTGAAACTTGCTCTCCAGCATAGAGATGCTAAAGCCAATGGAAGACATGAGGAGGTAAAAGAGCTGACAGGCGGTTTCCACTCATAGTGACTTGTATAGGGTTTCTGAGGCTGTAGAGCTTTACATTATCAGAAAGTGGGTTAGCAGGCCAATGCTTATCCTACCAAGTCACCAGCTCTCCCTGGTATAGCTGTTAGACTTCCCAAAGAAGTGCTTACCCAATAAAAATTGTATTTTTTGTCTTCCCAACCATCATAGATTTTTAGAAACTCCAACAACAATAGTTATACCATGAGGGAGTGAATTGTCCCTCTCCCTCCACCAAGCCCTGATACCTGTGAATGTGACCTTGTATGCAAATAGGGTCTTTGTAGAACGTTACCAGTTGACAAGAGGTCAAGGAGCCTTGGTAACACAGTGGTTTAAGTGCTGAACTACTTATTGAATGGTTGGCTGTTCTAATCCAGCAGTCACTCTGCGGGAGAAGGATGAGTGCCTCAGGAACTCTATAGAGTAGTTCTGCTGTGTTCTATCCGTTGGAGTTCACTTGATGGCAGTGATGGTAACATGAAGTCGAACTGGAGTGCTCCACACTCTCCTTCATTTCAACTGTCTCAGCTTCGCAGTCTCCATGACAGAAGTCACTGGAACAGGTGTATCATAGCCAAAATTATCAGTGTGTCTTGGCCACAGCTATGCAGTAGGGACACATCTTTGAACAAATGGCCATCAGCGGTCATCCCTTCCACTCCCCCACCCCCTACAAACGCTCACAGGGGCTCTCAGAGCCTCGCTCTCTGAACTCAGTGTAGTGTCTGGATTTTGAATCTTGTTCTCTAGTTTCTTTCCACTGAGCCCCACCCAACTTTCTCCTGACTGTCTTTCACTTTCATCTTTGTGACTGCTGCCATTTAGAGACTCGAGGTCATTTTCATTTCCTTTCTCCCCTTTGCCCTAAACATCTAGTAAGACATCAAGACTTTTCCTATAGCTATCATTCAGATCCACCCTTCCCTTTTAATTTCCAAAACCACCATTTCAATCCAAATCTGGATTGCTAGAATGTCTTCGGAGCTGCGTTTTCAGTTCTGTCTTTTCACAAGAAGATGCATGGTTCTTAGAGTCAACTTTCAGCTCTTCTCCTCAGCTGCTGTGATCTTAGAAGAAATTAGGTTCCCCTGGAGTCTAAGATTCCTCATCTATTACACAGGGATGCTTTGAAGTCAATTGAACCCAACAACTGTTCAGTGCCACTATTGTGTCTGAGCCTGGTGGGCACCTGCTCCTGACTGCTGTCAATCACCCTGGTTCTCATGCTTCTATAATCCGGACGCCAGAAGAACAAACAAATCTGTATTGGGAGAAACCCAACCAGAACGTTCTTTGGAGGCCAAGATGGCCAAACTTCGTTTCTCATACTTTGGACATGTTATCAGGAGGGACCAGTCCCTGGAAAATAACATCCTGTTTGGTAAAGTAGAGGGTCAATGACAAAGAAGAAGACCCACAAATGACATGAATTGGCACAGTGGCAGCAGCAATGCATCCAAAGGTAACAATTGTGTAGGTGGTGCAGGACCGGACAGTGTTTCATTCTATTGTGCATAGAAATATAGGAGTCGAAGGTACCTAACAACAACAACAACAACAAC